TGAGGGTTTAGGGTTTAGGGTTTAGGGTTGAGGGTTTAGGGTTTAGGGTTCAAGGTTCAGGGCTTGGTAGTGCAGCTGGGGCGCTTTTGCTTGTGAACCACGTGTATCTTTCATCACCTGGAGATTCTGAGCTCTCGGGGATCAGAAGCAAAGGGAGGCACAAAACACGCACCCCAAAAAGAAGCCTCAAGAAGTGCGAGCAAAACAAGAGAGGTATGTAGTTAAATCCATGTCGTTTCCATGTAGTGCACAGGATGCTGTGGTCACAGGATTGGCATTTCCAGTGGCGACATCACGCTTATATTCTAAAGCCCAAAACTCTGAAGCCCCAACCCTAAACCCTAAACCCTAAACCCTAAACCCTAAACCCTAAACCCTAAACCCTAAACCCTAAACCCTAAACCCTAAGCCCTACCCGTACACAGCCAACCATGTTTTGAAGGGAATCCCGCAGACAAACTTGCTCCATGTGCGGTGCTGCAGCTCACAATCCTGGCCTTGTCATCTAAGGTGTGGGGTCTAAGTCTAGCCTGGCCTTTGCTGCCAATCTGCACAGGCGACACGCGAATTTAATTAGGGAGCTTAGGGTGAGGGTTTGGGATCTGGGGTTTGGGGATGAGGTGTTAGGGTGGTGCCCTGACTACCAGGTTACCAGGTTGACCCTTCGCCCAAGCGACATGCCGGGAAATCCTGAACCCCCGGCATGGGCCTGGGTAGTGCACACAGCAATCCAGGCGGTACCTCAGCGCAAGTCTCCAACCCCAAAACATTGGCATGATGACTCTTTAACGATATTGTTTTTGTTCTTGGATCATTGTTGGCATCACGGTCATTGTTATATTGATGTTCTGCGTCTCACGACGAGTAACTAGTATGTTTGCAGCTTATCCTTATGACCGCCAGTTCATGACCATTCTCATAATTACTTATGATTGGCGCTCATCTGCCATCCAAAAACCCTCCAAACTGAAAACCCGAAACGCCCTATGAAACCGAAACAGCCTCAACCTCGGTGTTCAGGGATCCCCCCCCAAAATCCTTTGCAACAAAAAGACACATCGAATTCCCCGCTTCGCTGCGATTGCCCATGCACCGGCAACTTGCGAGGCCCACTTGCGCGGCTTGGGGCTTTGGAGCGCTTTCAATTTTTTTCCGCCGAAAGTCCAGACTTTAAGGGTTTTAGTGCTTTGGGCTCAGCGTTGAAGATTTTGGGGTTCCGGGCTCTTGGGGCCTGGGATGAATATGCAGCCGGCAACCACGTGTGGCCGTACTCCTCGTCGTGGCAGCGCACCGCGATTTCGAGCTGAGGCCACTTTCCTGAAGCTCGCCCGTAAGATCGACAAATCTAAGTGGGGTACTCAAGCCCTAAGACCTAAAGCCTGCGGCACCCAAAACAGCCTACGCCCTGAACCCTGAAGTGCACTTCTGGCTGAGCAGTAGGTCCGTTTCGCGCCAGCGGGAACCCTAGACATGCACTCTCTGCTTCACAGCCTCAAGTGTGGAAGTGAACCCAGCACTCTGCCCTCAGGCCTCATCCCTACCCTTACGAGGTGTGCTGGAGTCAGAAGGACCCAAGAAGGGATCGTGGGATACTGGGCAGGAGGGTTTTGGGGCTTGTGGCTTCGGGTAGATGGGTTTACCGCTGGCGCCCAAAGATCGTATAAGGCCTCGCGGCCCTGACTGTAAAATGACCCGAGACCCACCGCAAGCAGCCCTGACTGCAGGGTTCTCTTCTCGGAGCTTCGGCTTTTGACCAGCTTTCAAGAAGTTGTCCCAAACCCCGTCCCGAATGCTTCCTGAAACTGTGCCGGGCTTCCATCATGAAGCTGTCGGTCAAAGCCACGTGATCGGAGATATGCCACCTCTGCAGCTTATGCGTTTTTTTTTGGACTCCTCCTCCTCCTCCTCCTCCTCCTCCTCCTCCTCCTCCTCCTCCTCCTCCTCCTCCTCCTCCTCCTCCTCCTCCTCCTCCTCCTCCTCCTCCTCCTCCTCCTCCTCCTCCTCCTCCTCCTCCCCCTCCTTCTCCTCCTCCTCTTCCGCCTCCTCCTCCCTCCTACGGTTTGGCCCCAAAACCCTATACACCCCTAAACTCCCAAATCCTAAACCGCATTTCATCCTGGGGCCTATGACTCATCCCATCCCTCTGTTGGCTAGACTAGGCCTTCCCCTCCAAGTACCGGGTGCCGAAATCCTGCAACCCCCCAAAACTCAAATGGCAAGTCTCGAGCTTGCTGTTGGGCCATTGCACCGGATGGTCAGTGGCATCCAGGAGCCTTTGACGAGCTTACGTAGCTGAAGGAATGCCTTTTTTGTTGTGTTTTTAACGCCCTCCCTGAGTTGATAAACAAGGTTCAGGGTGTCGGGTTCTGGGATTTAGGGTTGGGGATCCCGAAACCCTAAACCCTAAACCCTAAACCCTAAACCCTAAACCCTAATGCAGGGTTTGGGATGTTTAGGGCTTCGGAAGGGAGATTTCAGGGTGCTCGGAATCTGCTTCGGCCCTGCGGGGACCCAAAGAAGCTGAAAGGCGCCGGAAGAAGCGCAACTCTCCCGAATGCCTGCAAGAAATGCATTGCTCCCGAAGTCTTCGTGAGCTGTTTGTTCAGGTGTTCACGCCCTAAACCCTAAACCCTAAACCCTAAACCTTAAACCCTAAACCCCAAACCCTAAACCCTAAACCCTAACCCTAAACCGAAAAAAAACCGAACTTGGGCGACTAAGGGTTCCGAACTTCCCCAAGACCTTCAACTTCTCAAGTTTGGGTTTAGGGTTCAATTAGGTGCTTATGACTTCGGGTTTATACAGTGACTCAGGGGCTCAGGCGCTTTAGGGCTTAGGGGCTCAGGGGCTCAGGGGCTCAGGGGCTCAGGGGCTTAGGGGCTTAGGGGCTTAGGGGCTTAGGGGCTCAGGGGCTTAGGGGCTTAGGGTTTGGGACTCTGTTCCGAACCCCTGGCGCCGAGGGGCGCATTCTCGGGCTCGATGGCCCCAAGTGACGTCAGGAGCCCCCCGGCTCGCTCCAAGGGCGCGAAGCGAAAACCATGGGAAGGCATGGACGTGCATTGGCTGAAGTCAGGGAACTAAACCCTAAAGCCTTAAATCAAACAAAGCCCTAAAAACCCTAAAAAAGCCTCTGAGACCCTAAAGCCTGGAGGGCACATTGGGGTTTGGGTACATTGGGGTTGAGGGTTTGTAAGAATGCCGTTCTGCATAGTCAGAGTTTGGGAGTTTAAGTCCTGAGGTTGTCGAAGTTTCGGGTTTCGGGTCTAGGGTTCTTGGGTTCTTGGGTTCTTGGGTTCCTTAGGGTTGCTCGGGATGCTTGCGCCCAAGCTATACTCCAAATTCCGGATGAAAGCGCCGAACCTCACCCCGCCCCACTACCCCCTTCAGGGATTGGCGTTGCCAGCTTGAAGGCTTCGGCCTTCCAATGGCATGTTCATCGTCCCACGGCTTTGCTTTTTCAACGGAAGGGGGGGGGGGGGGGAGGGGGAGAGCGGTCTGACCTCATGAGTACCCGGTAAGGAGGCCTGATCTGGCAGCTCCACCGAAATATTTCCGTGGTCACAATCACATAAGGCAAGGGTTAACAAGGCTAACAAGGCTGGGTAAGGAACAGCACGTGTCCTTGTAGCGCGGATGGGGTCCGACGGAGTGCAGGGGTCGCCAGGCAGGGTCGGGGCGGTGAGGATTTACCCTCGCCCTCCTGCGCCCCCTTCCGCCCGTAGGGAAGCTGGGGCTGGAATTCCGCTGGGCTGAGGCATGTTTCGAGATAGAAATCGCTCAGGGTTTGAAGAAGAGATGCTCTTCGTATGCTTACCCGATGATGCTCGATGATGCTTGGGGATGTATACCGCAAAGGCTACATGAACAAGCTCCGCGATGTTTGGAGTGTGAGGTGTGCATTTCTTGGAGGGAAGGGGAGAGTGTGGAGGCTGTCCCAACCCCAGGGAGCGTTTACCAACAGAAGAGAAAGGGATGGAGCGCGGGTTGGCGCAGTCGAAGGACTTAGGGGTTTCGAGTGTTGAGCATAGACGTGCGGTCCACCAGTGACTACGCGGCAGTTTACTTGATGTTCATGCTTCCGCTTGCTGTAGCTGTGGGCATTAAATAACGATGGGCCACTCAAAGGGGGGGAAGGCACTCCTTGCGCCTTGTCACTAGGCTGGGCGCGTGAAGAGGGCCTGGTGGGAGGCTGTAAACATACCTGCAAAAATATCGCCACGGCAACCCAGCAAACTCAACAAACCCCCGCCCACTGGATTAGAAGAAGACCTCAAGTGTGCGCCTCCAATGCTTTTAGGATGTATAGATGCAGGCTCAGGATTTAGGGCTCCAGGGCTACATACACACTCCTAGAACATGCAGCTGTGAAACGTGCATGGGATTGCACAAACTTCCTGCGAGCCGATGAGCGCCAGAAGCCTGAAGTCCTAAACCCAACATCCCTCCTCACACCGCCCCAAAGCCTATGTAAGCCCACAATCCAAAAACTGTCCACGTGAACAGCTGACTCACCCCAAAATTTCACAAGCAAGCACGGCATGACAGTCAACCCAACAACTTATGGCTTCGCTCACGGCAGCTCACGCGTGCCCCAAAAACTTAGAGGCTTACGTGTCTTCGGTTGACTAAGAGGAGAACAAGCTATGGGGGATGATAGCTATCATCCCAAGTCCCCTCCCTTCAAAAAGGCTCACGAAGCCCCCAAAACATTCTGAAAGGCCTTCCCTACCCCCTACATAGCCCCCTAAACCTCAAGGCAAAACTGAAACCCGCAACTGCAAAACTAACAAGCCCTCCTGCAAACCATGTCCGCCCTAAACCCGAACCCTATTCAGCCCCCCAAGCTCTAAGAAAAGCCCTAGACCCTAACCCTTTAAAAAGCCCTAAGACCCTAAACCCTAAACCCTAAACCCTAAACCCTAGACCCTAAACCCTAAACCCTAAACCCGAAACCCTAAACCTACAAAAAAAAAATTGAACCCAGGACTCGCGCCCCCAACCTGCATGGAGCTGCGGGAGCACGGGACATGGACGGCGGGCGTCGTGGCACCGCGGAAAATCAGCTGTAAGCCCGGCCACAGAGGCGTTTAGGGTTTAGGGTTCAGGGTTCAGGGTTTAGGGTTTAGGGTTTAGGGTTTAGGGTTCAGGGTTTAGGGTTTAGGGTTTAGGGATTAGGGTTTAGGGTTTAGGGTTTAGGGTTTAGGGTTTAGGGTGTTGTTTTTTGGACTGGAATCAGGGTTTAGGGTTTGGGGTTTGGGGTTTAGGGTTTAGGGTTTAGGGTTTAGGGTTTAGGGTTTAGGGTTTAGGGTTTAGGGTTTAGGGTTTAGGGTTTAGGGTTTAGGGTTTAGGGTTTAGGGAGGGTTTGTTTGGGGCAAATGAGGGAGGTTTTCAGCGGCGGGGTTTAGGGTTTGGGGCGTCTTCTGCACAGGGCTAGAGAATAGCGTGTAGGCGGCTTTGGGGGGTTTTGGGGCTGGAAACCCGGAACCTTCAACCCCGAACCGAGTCGAAATTCTGGGCACATGTCTCCTGCAGCTTGGCCTCGCCTTGAGGCACTTCTTCCTCAGGAATCTCGAAATCAGAGTCGGTCAACATCTCCACAATGATGACACCGGCCCCAAGCGTCTCGAGGTGAAGCTTCAGCTCCCCTCTGAGCTCGCTGATCTCGCGCCGCAGTTTCTCCAGCTCCCGATCCACATGGTCCCTTGCCACAAACAGCTCTGGCATGGCCAAAGCACTCGAAAAAAATTCGAGCCCACGAACCCCAATCGCTGGGCCTGGCTTGAACAAGTGACAGTAAATCAGCGCCTCACCTCTGCCAAGTCCGTTTATTCCAACGCAAGCCTTCACAATGGTCAAGAACCAGACCGAACCTCGTGGGAATTCGTGGGTTTGCAAATGTTTGCAAGTTTCCTAGCACGGAATTCGTGGGAAGGGTCTGACAAGCACAGGGAAGCTGCCTTCAGGGCTCCCAGGCAGTCCCTGTAACTCAGGTTTAGGGTTTAAAGATGTTTAAAGTTTAAGGTTTCATCCCTTTCGCAGCTCCGGGCGCTACTGCCTGCATGATCATGCCTAGTGACTGGCGTGACTTCTGTTTGGTTGCGAACCATGCAGGGAGGCACCATGCCCTCAACTCCGGCCCTGGCCACTTTTCGACACTCTGTCACGTCTTCAGCAGAAAGAGACAGTTCGAAGGCATGTTACCACCAAGAGCAGCTGGAAGTGCTAATCCTTGCTGTTGTAGGCCATAGGCGCGCCCAACATCTTGCAAGTGCACATGCAGCTTCTGAGAGGAATCCAGTACAATACAGCAGGCACCCACCCGGAGCCTAGCAAAGACTTCATGGAGAAAGCGATAATTGTCGTCTTGCAGAGAACGTGCATTCTCCACGAGCACAAAAGAAAAGACGATGAGGTCCCAGGACTCGCAGGACAACGAGTCGTTGACTTTGCTTTCGAGGCTCTTAGTTATGTCGGCCGATCCAAACCAAACTCGGTCCTGTGTAGTCAGCAGACCCAGGTTGACAAGCTCCTCTGACCTTGGTTTCTTAACAGCTACAGGCAGTTCTAGGGCATAGGCAGGAGGGTTCTAGCCTGTATCGGGCACGAAGCTACGGGATCCGCAAGTGCAGCCAACGGACAAAGCATCTACGCAATCGCTCCAACCTGGTTCCAAGTCCAGCACAGCTATGTTGAGATCAAAGGAGCCCAGCAAAGATCTCAGAAGAGCCAGTGAAACGACCGTCTCTCCTGGGCCGCCTCCCACGGATGCAACGGACAGGGTACCCTCCACTCCTTTGAGAAGAAGCTGGCTTGCAGACGGCTCTGCCAAGAGGGCGCCCAACTGCCGGCTGCGGGAGCCCAGGCGCTGCCGCGTGTATCCCGCCCGCGCGCCAGGGGCAGCAAAGCCGATCTTGGCCTCCGATGCCAGGGCCCCGTGGCGCGTGGAAGCCGTGAGCTCCGCCTTTAGCGCCGAGGACTGGCCTTCATCGATGGGACCCAGACGCGGCAGAAGACCAAGCAAGAGGGCCTCGAGGGTGCTGGCATGGAGCTGAAGGAAAAGCTCCACAGGACTGACCTTGCTGTCTTTGCTCCTGGCTGCTTCGCGTTTGGCTGTACCTTCTTCACGCACGTTGAAGCGCACGTCGCGCGTCTTTGCTCCCACTACGGGTCGCCAGTTCTCCCCGTGCAAGCAGACCGTGTACACAAGGGCAGCCCGTTTCAGAAACAGCATGTAGCGGCAGCCGAACTCACACTTCCAACAGCTCCAACGATACGAGAGGGGCCACAGCAGGCCAGCCGTCATCGGCCATGCTGTTTGGAGATGACGCCCGCACTTAAAGCAGGAGAACTCCACTTGTACCGACATGGCAACCGCTTCGGTGAGCCAGCGGCCACTTTGAACCCTCACCGATGTCTTCCATCTACACACTGTGCCGAGTGAGCCGCCAGCAAGATGATGTCGCCAGATGATGTTTCTGATGCTACTTGACACAGCCAGCCCACATCAGTTTTGGTCAAACTGTTAGACTGTAGGTGTTCGACTTCATTAGACAGGATCTGCGCAAAGGAAGGCCTGGCCCTTAGGCCCTTTTGGCTCCGGAAGGCTCATGGTTCCCACGTTGCCGATGTCTGCTGCACCGCCTACTGGCCACCCTGCCTGCAGCGTTAAGATTCTGTACAAAAGGAGACCTCTCAAAACGCCTTGCGTTTAAGAGGCTTCAAACCGGTAACCGGCAGGGGATGGCAGGAGGCCAAGAAGTTACTCCACAAAGCCTTGCGAACCAGGAAGGCAATTTGTCCCCGGGCCTTGCCGCTGGCATACTTACCATCTGTATGTGCCATACCAGCAGGCGCAGGGGCGTAGAGACAGTGAACGAAATGCATCTCCGACGAGCGGCACAGCGAAATGCTGCCACAAAAATGCAATGCATGTATGACTATGTTGATAGCACACATTCCAGGCGCTTCTCAAAAGAGTGGCACATTGTTGCGTGTATGCCAATGGGTACATGCCACCCGGGGCTTGTAAAATCTTCAGAGAAGCGCCAAAACGAATTACAAGCCTAGCACAAATCAAAAATAGCAATCCTCTCACGAACTTCAGGTGCCCACAGCTGCTTAGCAGCTGTTGAAAGATGAGTTCGTGCACCTTTGTGGTCCATCATTCCAGGGATTTTCAACTGAGGACGGGCACCGGCATACACAAATCCCGCTTCTTGTCGCATTGTTTGCGCCACGGTGCCTGGTCACCTCTGCTCACCTTTGCGCCTGCATCTGCAGGTTGTAGTACACGCCCTTCAAAGCCATCAACTCTTCGTGGCTCCCGCGCTCCACCACGCGGCCGTCGGCGTTGACGAGAATGACATCACACCCTTGGATGGTGGACAGCCGATGTGCAATGGCGAAGGAGGTGCGCCCCTCGCGTGCCGCTTCGAGAGCTTGCTGCACTAGGGCTTCGCTCTGCGTGTCAAGGGCGCTGGTGGCCTCGTCCAACAGCAACACCGGCGGATTGCGCATGAGCGCCCTGCAAATCGCCACGCGCTGCTTCTGTCCACCCGAAAGGCGGCTGCCTCGGGGTCCCACCTCCGTCTCCAGGCCATTGTTGCCGTTCTTGTACAAGAACGCCAAGTTTGAAATCTTCTCACACTGGCTGACGTACTCATCGCTGACAGACTCACCTGCGCTTGGTCCACTTTGCAAGCAACGAAAACCGAATCTCTGGAGCCCTTAGAGGGCCGCAACTGACCTACACAGAATCTGGAAAAGGCGCCTTCCGCCAGGCCGTACATGATGTTGGCCCGCACGGTGGTGTTGAAGAGGATGGGCTCCTGCCCGACAAAGCCAATCTGGCGACGCCACCACCGGATGTTGACAGCGCTCAGGGGCACATGGTCAGCGCCAATGAGGATCTGGCCCTCCTGAGGATCATAGAAGCGCTGGATCAGGGACATGACCGTGCTCTTGCCACCGCCGGAAGGGCCGACCAGGCCCACCGACTGTCCTGGGGAGATACTGAAGCTGGTGCCTTTGAGCACCAAGACCCCCGGCCGGAAAGGGTAGAAGAACTTCACGTCGCGGAACTCCAGGCGGCCGGCCTCCAGCTTCTGAGGCGTCGCGGCTGTCGCCGCCGGCTCAAGGCCATCGATGGCAGAGACACGGTCCATGAGCTGAAAGAGGTCGTGACAGGCAACCTTGGCCTTCGTGGCATCGCCCACCATCACCGCGGCCTGGCCAGCCCCCATGCCGGCGTAGAAGATGCCCATGAAGGCCATCATCACGCCTTCGAAGTCTGCGATGCTCTCCTTGATCAGAAGGGAGGCGACGTAGAAGCCCCCGGCCATGATGAAGAAGAAGATGCCGTTGGAGACGCCGAAGCCTATTCCGGCGAGGAGGCTGCGCCTCCACATGCCCACCAGGGATTTTTCGACCCAGCCCACGTACATGTGAACGAGGTTCTTCTCCACACACAAGGCCTGCACCGTGCGCGCGTTCATGACGGAGTCCACCACGATTTGGTTGGCATTTGTGATGTTCTGATTCTCATTCTTCGACGCACCGAGCAGCACCAGCCACTGAAGGGCACTTGCTGCGATCATGATGGGGATGGAGGCCAACATCACCAGGGACATCTGCCAGCAGTAGACGAAGGCAATCACGAGCCCAACGACCAGGGAGCTCATCGCGGCGGCCTTGGCCTGGATGGACTTGCACAGCACCGCCACGCGGAATGCCCAGAGCTCCAAAGCTTTGGAGAGCATGCCAGGGGTGTTGCTCGGATCATCGTGGAAGCCCACCTGACTGATTTTTAAGTATCCCTAAAACGGCGCTCAAGAGCTACTGAGAGGTTCATGAGCAGCTATAAAGCTAAGCGGCCTTCAGATGAAATTACAACCCCTGCAGGCTACAGTTGCAGCACCCATGAAGCAGCAGGGACTGTCACATCCCCCCCGGCGGCCTCTTGACGGAACATGCCCGTGAGGATCGCCACGCGCAGGCGCTGCGTCATGGCCTCGCCGAGGATGGAGAAGCAGCCGTGCGAGAGGGTGGAGCCCAGGAGGGCAGCGACACCCACGAGGACGAAGGTAAGGGCCATCATCTCCAAGTCGGCCCTCATCTCCTCCTTGTCCGGCTTGAAGAAGGCCTTCATCGAGCCCACGAGTGCAACGGTGCACACGGGATTGGCCGCGCCATCCACCATGGCACCCAAGATCGCGGGAACAAAGAAGGGCCACTCAGGCCTGTTGTAACTCAAGAGTCGGCCCATGGGAACCTTGTATCCCTTGACGATCTCTTTCTCCCGCTCTGCTTCCGCCTCCTTCTCCCGCTTCACTCGCTGGATCTCACACTCCTCGGAATGAGAGGAGCCTCGCCTGACTTGAGCCTGGAGATCTTGGGGTGCTGGGGACACGTCCTCGCTTTCCTCGTGGCAAGACTCCTGCGCTGCAACCAGGGCGTAGTAGGTGCCCTTCTTCTCCATCAGGAAGGCATGGCTGCCCTGTTCCACCAACTTGCCGCGGCTGAGCACGTGAATAAGGTCAGAGTTGCGCACCGTGCTGAGGCGGTGAGCGATATTCACGATACCCAAACCCTCAGGAGTGTTGGCACTGATGCTGTCGATCGTGTCTTGGATCATCTTCTCCGACGTGTTGTCCAGGGCGCTGGTCGCCTCATCCAAGAAAAGGAAGGAAGCCTTCTTCAGCAAGGCCCGGGCGATGGCGATGCGCTGCTTCTGGCCTCCCGACAGCTGGCTGCCTCCGCTGCCCACAAAGGTGTCGTACCTCTCTGGCAAGGCGTCCACGAAACCCAGCTGCGCATCTGCGCAGGCCCTGACGAAGTCGTCCCTACTGGCGGAAGGGTTGCCCTGCATGATGTTGTGGCGGATGGAGCTGGCAAAAAGCACGGGCTCCTGCCCCACATAACCGATGCACTTTCGGAGCGCGGAGACCTTGAAGCTTCTCATGTCCTGGCCATTCACAAGTACGGCTCCGGAGTCCGGATCGTAGAAGCGCTCCAGGAGCGCCATGACGGTGGACTTGCCGGAGCCAGACTCACCGACCACCGCAACCTTTTGCTAGGGGGGTTCCGAAATGGGGAGGGGGGGGGTATTTTATTGGGGTCTTTATTGGAAGGGAATTCTACTGTTTGGGGGGTCCATTCTAGGGGTCCCTTATTTTCGTAAACTCCCACCTTTTGCCCACGCTGGATGGACAGGGAGAGGCCGCTCAGGACCTTGACGTCGGGTCGGGCCGGGTAGGTGAAGTGCACGGCCTGAAACTCGAACTTCTCGATGCCGGTGACGTCCCAGCGCTGGTCCTCCGTGCGGCACTGGATCGTGGGCATGTGCTCCACCACTGAGAAGAACCGCCCTGCGGCGCTCTGGGCGGCTTTCATGGCCTTCAGGCTTGGGTCCAGGTTCCCGATCATGAAGCTGCCGACAAAGATGCAGAAGAAGATGGCCAAGATAAGGCCCGGCTCCCAAGGCTTGCCGGTGGCTGGGTTGATCTCGTCGTTGTACCGCAGGGTCATGCCGAACCAAGAGGCCAAGCCGTATCCCAGGTACATGACCATCATGGTGTAGCCCAAGCCTGCCCCGACCTTGAAGCCGTTCTTGACACCCCCGCGGCGGGTCTCGACCACGGCGGCCGCGAACTTCTTTATCTCCCGGTGCTCTCCACCGAAGGCCACCACGGTGCGCATGGCATGGAGGCACTCCTCCACAACAGCGGAGGCCTTGGCATACCAGCTCTGCGACTCGTTCTGGATCTCCTGGACGGCCTGTCCCATGATCGCAGCCCCAACGCCCATGAAAGGCAAAGTGGAGCACATCACAAGTGCGATGAGCCAACCCATTCCGAAGGCGCAACCAAAGCCGCCAATGAACGCAGCAATGGACATGACTCCGTTTCCGAACTTGTCTCCTAAAGCATCCTGAATCTTCTCCAGGTCATCGTTGATCTCAGCAGGCAATGCTGCAACCTCCATCGTGTCGTACCAGGACACATCCTGGTGGAGCACGGAATCAAAATAGAGCACGCGTAACTTGAAGGCTTGCTTCTCGGCAAAGACTTTGAAACAGCACCCCTGTAGTCCCGCAGCCAAGGTCGCAGCTGCGCCTACGAGCATCATGGTGATGCAAAGCTCCTCCATCTTCGCCATCATCGCACCCATCGCGGCCTGCATCTGCTCGGCATCGATTGACTCGGCGCCGCCTGTACCTTCACCCATGCCATCGATGAGGTCTCCGAAAACGATGCACATCAAGGGCT